AAAGCAGTGCATCTGTTTGCGGGAGTGCGTCCCCGAATAGTTCCTGGGTGCTCGCCGGAGGCCGGAGACGTCTCCGAATATCTTTGGCCACTCAGGTTATCAACCTCTGGACCCACATAGATAAATGTATGATTTATACAGGAATGTGCCAGCCTATTAGGCTTGTGGGCTTGTTGCTGTTTGGTTGTTTTTTTACTTGTTACTTTTTTTCTTAATTGGTTTTTTTTTCTCCGTGTTTTTGTTTTTTCCTGAAACTCTCTGCCGTTCAAAGACAGAGAGACGTAACTGCGTATTTTATGGTTTTGAGAAAAACACGGACACCCCCCCCCCCCCCACATACACAAAGGTTGAGATGGCTTACTTTCGCAGCTTCAATAATAATAATAATGATAATAAATAGCGTTTGTATAGCGCTAATTCCCGCTCAACAGCAAGCTCTATACGTTTTACAATCTATATTAAAACATCCCAGCAGATATGATAGCATTCTGAAACAATTATTTCAACTTACCTACTAGACATGAAGTTCTGGTGCGGATAATACGTGGCCCTGTCTTTGGCACAAGAAGGATATGGGCAAGACTAAATTCAATCTTTGAAAGCGGGAAAAAATCGAGTTTTTCAGATACGTCCCTCTACCGTGGGGCGGCAGGTTTGGTTGGACACTGGCCAGTGTGCGAATTACTGGTTCGGTTTTTTGTTTTTTGTTTTTTGTTTTGTTTTGTTTGTTTTTTGGGTGTTTTTTTAGTATATTTTTTTTCTCGGCCTTACTCGCAGGAGACTCATCTGCGTCGGTGATGTAATGGCTGATCTATTCGGTGTATGTAGTGGGGAGAGGTGTTTTGTTTTGGGGGGAGGGAGGTAGTTATAGTTGTTTTGTTTGTTTTTTCGACTGTACCCACAAGAGACTCACCGGCGTCGTTGGTGTAATGGCTGATCTATTCGGTGTGTATATCACTGAGCACCTGAGTTGATTCCCGAGGTGGGTCGTTGGCGGGTGCTCTGGTGTGGTTTGTTCCTTCTTTCCTATCGAACATCTGTCGTCTTGATCTCTCGTTCTTCTTCTTTTTGTGTGTTTCAGTTACTCTCTTGGAACACCTCTATTCTTAGGCACTTATAGACCTTATTGTGTTGCAAGTGCTGTAAAACGCTTACTAAAGTGTAACGATCTCAATCGTGTCGACGAGGGCCCACCCTCCTAA